CAGGCTGCTGTTTTCTTGCTTCTCTCTCTCTTCTGGCCTTCCTTTTCATACACCAGCAGCCACCTGAGATATCTGCAAAACAGTGCCAATGAAGAGAAATTGAAGCTGGCAAAAATGTCTCAGGACCGGGAGAAATTAAGGGGAAAGGGATCATTGCCAGCTCTCTGGGCCCATGACTGAGCTTTATGTTGAGAAAAATGAGGTCTCTGCCCAGAACCCTGGGGTCTCTGCCTTATCCTCATCCCACTTCCCCTGGGCCTGGGCACTTGAAGGGCATTTGTAGATGCAGCTTCCCTGGCTGAGAAATTGGACACTTGCATCACAAATTCATCATGAGTTTGGGCTTAAACATTTACATTTGCAAGCTCCGTGCTGAGGAGAGATTAAATTATTTACGGCACTGTGTAAACTGATTAAATCTTAGTTTACACCTGTTTACATAGCAGGCAGCAGATTGGGAATCAGAAGTTTCCAAGTTGGACGTGAATCGTTGTCACTTTCTTCTCGTGTTTACTCAGTGAACTATGTCAGCTTTGTTCCTTGCATGTGGAAAAAGCCCAGTGTCTTACAAGTGGGGCCCTAAAATTCCTTCAAAGACATGTTGGCACGATCGGAAGAAACTGGGTAAAGCAAGCAGGGGAATCAACCCAGAGAGAGTGCGCACATGCTAAGTTTATGCCACTGTACAGTGTGGTTAAAAAAAAAGTGCTTAATAGTTATATTTGACCCTGAACAATACACTCAATATCCACGTTTATCAGTTTTTGCACCTATCGTAGGGGGGTAGTGACTATTTCTAACAGCGTTGAGGCAGATGGTTGGGTAATGTAGTGAAAGCATTTTATAAACTATTCAGTTCAATATGTACATGTTATACTACATACTCCTTTTTTTCCCATTTACTTTAAATGAAGAAATACAATTAGCAGAATACTTAAGTATGTTCCCCTCCTATTTCTTCTCAAGTCTATTGGGTTTTGTTGTTGTTGTTGTTGTTGTTGTTGTTTTTGAGACAGAGTCTCACTGTGTCACCCTCCATAGAGTGCTGAGGCATCACAGCTCACAGCAACCTCAAACTCTTGGACCTAAGCGATTCTCTTGCTTCAGCCTCCCAAGTAGCTGGAACTACAGGTCCCCACCACCACACTCAGCTATTTTTTGTTGTAGTTGTCATTGTTGTTTAATGACAACCCGGTGTGTGTGGCCAGTGCCATAACTGCTGTGCTATGGACACCGAGCCTCAAGACTATTATTTTAAGAGAAAAGAAAGACA